ACCATTCCCCCTCCCCTGTCCCCTCGTCCTCCCAACCATTCCTCACTGCCCCGTCCCCTCGTCCTCCCATCCATTCCCTACTCCACCGTCCCCTCATCCTTCCCATCATCTCCCACTCCCCCCCATCCCCTTATCCTCCCTACCATTCCCCTCTACCTCGCCCCTCGTTCTCTCCACCACCCCCCACTCCCCTCGTTCTCCCCACCACCCCCCACTCCCCTGTCCCCTTGTCCTCCCCACCATTACCCTCTTCCCCTCCCCCTCGTCCTCCCCACCATTCCCCACTCCCCCGTCTGATGTATTCCCAAATGATCTGATGTTCCCATCACTGAACTATAAGAAAAACAGTTAAAAAACGAAATGAAAAAATGAAAAAAATAAAATATACATATGAAGTGAACGGTAGGGTAAACAGCCCAGCTCAATTCCAACGCAATGTCACACAAAATAATTAAATCAAAATGAAAATATATCGAAATCATGAAAATTCAGTTTATCAATGAAATTGGAAACATTGACATTAGAATCGTAACATGTTTAGTATAGTGTGTCTTACTCTTACGTCCAACAGATGGCGTTTTTTTAAATAATGTTTTTACCTGTCACAGGTGTGGCATCTCTACTTATACTCATGAAATGAACGGTATGGTAAACAACACAACTCAATTCCAATGCAATGTCACACAAAATAAATAAAACAAAACGAAAATAAATCGAAATCATTGAAAATTTAATTTATCAATGCAATTGGAAACATTGAAATGGAATTGTAACATAAATAGAATAGCGTGTGTTGCTATTACGTTCAACAGATGGCGCTGTTTTGCAAAAAAAGCATGTTTATACCTGTCAAAGGTGTGGCATCCATATAGTAGGTATATAAAAACACGCGCCTATTCGAATGGAACGTTGTGTCAAATTTTCAAAGCAATCGGTGAAGAACGTTTGGTGATTACAGCGTGTGTTGCTTTTACGTCCAACAGATGGCGCTGTTTAAAAAAAAAATATTTTTCCCTGTCACAGGTGAGGCATGTATATAATATGTATTAAAATACGCCCCTATTCGAATGCAACATTGTGTGAAAATTCCAAAGCAATAGGTGAAGAACTTTCGGAGATTAGCGATTTTGAACAAACGAACATTTACATATTTATTTATATAGATTTCACTGAGAACTATACCATTGACCTACAGGTACCCACAGTATGAGACACTCTACCATTGACCTACAGGTACCCACAGTATGAGACACTCTACCATTGACCTACAGGTACCCACAGTATGAGACACTCAACCATTGACCTACAGGTACCCACAGTATGAGACACTCTACCATTGACCTACAGGTACCCACAGTATGAGACACTCTACCATTGACCTACAGGTACCCACAGTATGAGACACTCTACCATTGACCTACAGGTACCCACAGTATGAGACACTCTACCATTGACCTACAGGTACCCACAGTATGAGATACTCTACCATTGACCTACAGGTACCCACAGTATGAGATACTCTACCATTGACCTACAGGTACCCACAGTATGAGACACTCTACCATTGACCTACAGGTACCCACAGTATGAGATACTCTACCATTGACCTACAGGTACCCACAGTATGAGACACTCTACCATTGACCTACAGGTACCCACAGTATGAGACACTCTACCATTGACCTACAGGTACCCACAGTATGAGACACTCTACCATTGACCTACAGGTACCCACAGTATGAGATACTCTACCATTGACCTACAGGTACCCACAGTATGAGACACTCTACCATTGACCTACAGGTACCCACAGTATGAGACACTCTACCATTGACCTACAGGTACCCACAGTATGAGATACTCTACCATTGACCTACAGGTACCCACAGTATGAGACACTCTACCATTGACCTACAGGTACCCACAGTATGAGACACTCTACCATTGACCTACAGGTACCCACAGTATGAGACACTCTACCATTGACCTACAGGTACCCACAGTATGAGACACTCTACCATTGACCTACAGGTACCCACAGTATGAGACACTCTACCATTGACCTACAGGTACCCACAGTATGAGACACTCTACCATTGACCTACAGGTACCCACAGTATGAGACACTCTACCATTGACCTACAGGTACCCACAGTATGAGATACTCTACCATTGACCTACAGGTACCCACAGTATGAGACACTCTACCATTGACCTACAGGTACCCACAGTATGAGACACTCTACCATTGACCTACAGGTACCCACAGTATGAGACACTCTACCATTGACCTACAGGTACCCACAGTATGAGACACTCTACCATTGACCTACAGGTACCCACAGTATGAGACACTCTACCATTGACCTACAGGTACCCACAGTATGAGATACTCTACCATTGACCTACAGGTACCCACAGTATGAGATACTCTACCATTGACCTACAGGTACCCACAGTATGAGACACTCTACCATTGACCTACAGGTACCCACAGTATGAGACACTCTACCATTGACCTACAGGTACCCACAGTATGAGATACTCTACCATTGACCTACAGGTACCCACAGTATGAGACACTCTACCATTGACCTACAGGTACCCACAGTATGAGACACTCTACCATTGACCTACAGGTACCCACAGTATGAGACACTCTACCATTGACCTACAGGTACCCACAGTATGAGATACTCTACCATTGACCTACAGGTACCCACAGTATGAGACACTCTACCATTGACCTACAGGTACCCACAGTATGAGACACTCTACCATTGACCTACAGGTACCCACAGTATGAGACACTCTACCATTGACCTACAGGTACCCACAGTATGAGATACTCTACCATTGACCTACAGGTACCCACAGTATGAGATACTCTACCATTGACCTACAGGTACCCACAGTATGAGACACTCTACCATTGACCTACAGGTACCCACAGTATGAGACACTCTACCATTGACCTACAGGTACCCACAGTATGAGACACTCTACCATTGACCTACAGGTACCCACAGTATGAGATACTCTACCATTGACCTACAGGTACCCACAGTATGAGATACTCTACCATTGACCTACAGGTACCCACAGTATGAGATACTCTACCATTGACCTACAGGTACCCACAGTATGAGACACTCTACCATTGACCTACAGGTACCCACAGTATGAGACACTCTACCATTGACCTACAGGTACCCACAGTATGAGATACTCTACCATTGACCTACAGGTACCCACAGTATGAGATACTCTACCATTGACCTACAGGTACCCACAGTATGAGACACTCTACCATTGACCTACAGGTACCCACAGTATGAGACACTCTACCATTGACCTACAGGTACCCACAGTATGAGATACTCTACCATTGACCTACAGGTACCCACAGTATGAGACACTCTACCATTGACCTACAGGTACCCACAGTATGAGACACTCTACCATTGACCTACAGGTACCCACAGTATGAGACACTCTACCATTGACCTACAGGTACCCACAGTATGAGATACTCTACCATTGACCTACAGGTACCCACAGTATGAGACACTCTACCATTGACCTACAGGTACCCACAGTATGAGACACTCTACCATTGACCTACAGGTACCCACAGTATGAGACACTCTACCATTGACCTACAGGTACCCACAGTATGAGATACTCTACCATTGACCTACAGGTACCCACAGTATGAGACACTCTACCATTGACCTACAGGTACCCACAGTATGAGACACTCTACCATTGACCTACAGGTACCCACAGTATGAGACACTCTACCATTGACCTACAGGTACCCACAGTATGAGATACTCTACCATTGACCTACAGGTACCCACAGTATGAGACACTCTACCATTGACCTACAGGTACCCACAGTATGAGACACTCTACCATTGACCTACAGGTACCCACAGTATGAGACACTCTACCATTGACCTACAGGTACCCACAGTATGAGATACTCTACCATTGACCTACAGGTACCCACAGTATGAGATACTCTACCATTGACCTACAGGTACCCACAGTATGAGACACTCTACCATTGACCTACAGGTACCCACAGTATGAGACACTCTACCATTGACCAACAGGTACCCACAGTATGAGACACTCTACCATTGACCTACAGGTACCCACAGTATGAGACACTCTACCATTGACCTACAGGTACCCACAGTATGAGACACTCTACCATTGACCTACAGGTACCCACAGTATGAGACACTCTACCATTGACCTACAGGTACCCACAGTATGAGATACTCTACCATTGACCTACAGGTACCCACAGTATGAGATACTCTACCATTGACCTACAGGTACCCACAGTATGAGACACTCTACCATTGACCTACAGGTACCCACAGTATGAGACACTCTACCATTGACCTACAGGTACCCACAGTATGAGATACTCTACCATTGACCTACAGGTACCCACAGTATGAGACACTCTACCATTGACCTACAGGTACCCACAGTATGAGACACTCTACCATTGACCTACAGGTACCCACAGTATGAGACACTCTACCATTGACCTACAGGTACCCACAGTATGAGATACTCTACCATTGACCTACAGGTACCCACAGTATGAGATACTCTACCATTGACCTACAGGTACCCACAGTATGAGACACTCTACCATTGACCTACAGGTACCCACAGTATGAGACACTCTACCATTGACCTACAGGTACCCACAGTATGAGACACTCTACCATTGACCTACAGGTACCCACAGTACAGTATGAGATACTCTACCATTGACCTACAGGTACCCACAGTATGAGATACTCTACCATTGACCTACAGGTACCCACAGTATGAGATACTCTACCATTGACCTACAGGTACCCACAGTATGAGACACTCTACCATTGACCTACAGGTACCCACAGTATGAGACACTCTACCATTGACCTACAGGTACCCACAGTATGAGACACTCTACCATTGACCTACAGGTACCCACAGTATGAGATACTCTACCATAAGAAGAACGTGGAAGTGGTCAACAATGCCAACCGGTTCACTGGGGCGTCGCTCAGAGACTTCATAGTGGACATCTACTTTCTCTCTCGCACTGACTACATTGTTGTCACTTTCTTGTCCAATGTGAGTACTCTTGGACACTTCCTGTTACTGACTATTTTTTATAAAATAAATGAATCTTCTGATCACTGTCTGAGAATACTAATCATGTCAACAAATAACGTTTGTAATATTTGTTTAGCAAAATAATCACTAAACCCTTAAAATAACGCGTGGAGAGGCAATACAATTTTTGTTCGTCTTGCATCATAAAATTGTTTCAGTGTCAGATTAGTAAACGGATGGAATGCATTAGGCAGTGATGTGGTGGAGGCTGACTCCATACACAGTTTCAAATGTAGATATGATAGAGCCCAGTAGGCTCAGGAAACTGTACATCAGTTGATTGACAGTTGAGAGGCGGGACCAAAGAGCCAGAGCTCAGCCCCCGCAAGCACAACTGAGTACCATGGCTGTCGACAGATATCAATATGTCTATTATTAGAGTAAATATCTATTTCCAGTCATTAGGTGGTTGCGTTTCATAATAACAATGAAGGCATATATCATTTGTCTTTTGAATATTTATGTATTATTATTTCGAAATTTGAGGAGAGCATTTCATTAAATTTGTTAATCAATGTAATTGATAAAGCTGCTGTCGATGAGATGTTTACTGTTGGTTAAGTTTTTAAATCTGGGTTTAGCGATTATCTTTCAAAACTTAAGAGAAAGAATTTTTTGCAATCCCAAGGCACAGTTTACTTGCCTCTTTTCATTGTTTAAAATATAAAGTAGATATGACTGATAAATATCTGAATAATTTCATACAAATAATGAGTAAGATGGTTGAGGTTAAGCCTAGTGTGTGTGTGTGTGGCGCAGGTGGGGAGGCTGGTGTACGAGGTCATGCATGCGCTGGGGCCCGACGCCTCCTCCAGGTTCTACTCCCTGGACACCCCGTTCCTCTTCGTCAACCAGCGAGACAGCTTCGTCAAGGCCCGCTTCTTCCACAAGTCTCACAGGTGTGTTAATTAATTCATTAAAACCTAAATCATGAAACGCCAAAGTTAGGGGCCTGACGGCTGAGTGGACAGCACTCAGGTTTCGTAGTCCTAAGGGTACGGGTTCAATCCCCGTCGGAAGGTGGAAACAAATGGGCAGAGTTTCTTTCACCCTGATGCCCCTGTTACCTACCAGTAACTAAATATCTGATGTGGGGAAACTGACCTGTCAGATTTATATTTATGTAACACGGCGGGGGGGGGGGGGGGGGTTCTCGAATGATCTTTTCTCCTTTTTACTCCCTTCTCTACCCGTATTCTTACTTTTGTTCTCTACCAAGGGACCCCAAACATTTCAATTGAGTCGACCCCACGCCACGTGGTCTCAAGACGATTTACCGACTTGATATTCTACAACCCGTATGACGTGGACTAGGCTTCTAGCAAAACCCTATGGTCACCTTTCCGCCGCCACCACCAGACCTTGCAACACCGAGCAATGATCGAGGCCTGGATCGATCATGCCCAATCAATAACTTTGGGGCTTGATCCCCACTAGTAACATATAACCTTGGATCTTACGTGTGGAATTAAAAATCAATGGGAATACTGAATTATGACTCGGTGTTAGAATCGGCGCCCAATTCAACTCGGCCTCGTGGGGACCACGTGACAAGGACAAATTCACATAAATATAACACACACATGGATATAATGAAACTGCAAATTAATAACTAATTAATTTATTCCAAAACTAAACAAAATCTAAAAACAGTTCACTCCCTGATTGAACATTCCCTGACTGGCAATGAATGGACTATTCCCTACAATTACTCGTAAAGCAACTCTACCTTGGGCGACCAGCTAGATGTTCGTGCTGTCGGGAGGCCGATGATGGAAAGGCCACCTGCCCGAGTTGTTTCTCAAACCACACTGTTCCCTGCTCGGCTAGTCTCTCGGCTTTCCCTACTATATAGTTATTGATTAGTAGACATTGACTACATATATTAGTTATTAGATGGGGAGGCCTTATCTTGTATTGCTGATTTAGGCCCAGACAACCAGTATGAGCATCCTCCTCGTGGATGAGGCTGTCGTCAACACTTGTACTGGTGTACTAAGTACTTCTTCTCCAATTACACCTGTCTAAGGGCACACAATAATAGTAATAACCTCTATAACAGCTATATTAGGGGAAATATTGACAATTATTTACATAAGGGGGTAGGAATATAGTTCACCCTGTTTTGAGTCTTGACTTGTATCCTAACCGGTTTGCTTTTATATACCTACATTACACTGTTCAGGAATTTCGGAATTGGGATACTTCCCTTGATAGTAGACAAAGTTGTGTTGATAACGGGAGCACAATTAGTCCCATAACACTAAATCAAGGGTAAATTATAAGAGGTAGATTTGATCCGGCGAGAGTATTGTAAAAATTAAATGGCGACTCACTCTGGCCCTCTCCCATGACGCTCAGGCTGTCGTCAAGAAGTAGATAGAAGTCTCACATTTACTCTAATTTGGTACTGATAATTAAGTTGACTCAAGGGGAAATGTTTTTATGGTGTTTACAGTCCAAAGACTGATCATTAAGGATATTTCCCATTATTTGGTGGTGAAATTAATACCGACATGTGGCTATTAATTATATACATACATATATATATATATATATATATATATATATATATATATATATATATATATATATATATATATATATATATATATATATATATATATATATATATATATATATATATATATATATATATATATATATATATGCGAACAAGCCTGAATGGTCCCCAGGACAATATGCAACTGAAAACTCACACCCCAGAGTTCTGGGAGTATGAGTTCGAGTCACTTCTGGGGTGTGAGTTTTCAGTTGCATATTGTCCTGGGGACCATTCAGGCTTGTTCGCATTTGTGTTCCTCACGTGTGCCCCAAAGAATGAGGAGATTTGGTAAAATGCTATGCCCAAGATTACTATCCGAGTGCCGGCGGTGGGGTGGTTCAAATAGCCTCGGCTATCACCTCATTTTGTCCGGTCGTGATGGTCAAGTGGATTAAGGCGTCTTGTACATACCAGTTGCGTTGCTTCTGGGAGTATGAGTTCGAGTCACTTCTGGGGTGTGAGTTTTCAGTTATATATATATATATATATATATATATATATAGGCACTTCACAGCCTGCTACGCAAGGCCCGATTTGCCTAATAAGCCAAGTTTTCCTGAATTAATATATTTTCTCTAATTTTTTTCTTATGAAATGATAAAGCTACCCATTTCATTATGTATGGGGTCAATTTTTTTTTATTGGAGTTAAAATTAACGTAGATATATGACCGAACCTAACCAACCCTACCTAACCTAACCTAACCTATCTTTATAGGTTAGGTAGTCGAAAAGCAATTAATTAATGAAAACATGGCTTATTAGGCAAATCGGGCCTTGCATAGTAGGCTGAGAAGTGCGTTCTGGCTACTAGGTACAACATATATATATATATATATATATATATATATATATATATATATATATATATATATATATATATATATATATATATATATATATATATATATATATATATATATATATATATATATATATATATATATATATATATATATATATATATATACAATGTCAGACCACGGAGGAAAAATGAAACAGGAAATTTTCTTAATCTTAATTTTCTAATAGATCAGCTAAAGGGCGATTTAAGTAGAATCATTGAAAAACATTTGTCTCACTAATTTATTGTATATATTTACTTCTTTATGTTATAATTACCTATATATTATGCTTGTATGTCTGCTGTATCAGATGGGCCATTGGGCTACATCGGATGTGCCTTTTGGGTGCATCTGATGGGCCAATGGGCCGTCTGCGTTGTCCAAGTATTGTACCTCACCTTACTTCACCACTCCTTCCTGCCTATTTATACCCATCACTCGATCTGTAAAATGACCTTCTGAAGATGTATTTAATATACGAAAGTACTTAAGGAAATTTCCTGTTTCATTTTTCCTCCGTGGTCTGACATTGTCACATTCTTAATCACGTGTTTATTTTCGTGATATACACACATATATATATATATATATATATATATATATATATATATATATATATATATATATATATATATATATGTCTGAAAACTCACACCCCAGAAGTGACTCAAACCCATACTCCCAGGAGCAACGCAACTGGTAACTACGGGGCGCCTTAATCAGCTTGACCATCACGGCCGGACAAAAGGAAGTGATAGCCAAAGCTATTTGAACCACTTCCCCGCCGGCAACTCGGATGGTAATCTTGGGCATAGCATTTTATCAAATCACCTCATTCTTTGGGGCACACGTGAGGAACACAAATGCGAACAAGCCTGAATGGTCCCCAGGACTATATGCGTCTGAAAACTCACCCCAGAAATGACTCGAACCCATACTCCCAGGAGCAACGCAACTGGTAACTACGGGGCGCCTTAATCCGCTTGACCATCACGAACACCATTTATGTTCCTCACGTGTGCCCCAAAGAATGAGGTGATTTGATAAAATGCTATGCCCAAGATTACCATCCGAGTTGCCGGCGGGGAAGTGGTTCAAATAGCTTCGGCTATCACTTCCTTTTGTCCGGCCGTGATGGTCAAGCGGATTAAGGCGCCCCGTAGTTACCAGTTGCGTTGCTCCTGGGAGTATGGGTTCGAGTCACTTCTGGGGTGTGAGTTTTCAGACGCATATAGTCCTGGGGACCATTCAGGCTTGTTCGCATATATATATATATATATATATATATATATATATATATATATATATATATATATATATATATATATATATATATATATATATATTGTGACAGTAAAGCGTTGGTGTTCGGCTGTTTCAAAGCTAGGGGCAGGGCCTCGTCACATTAAAGAAAATAAAAGAGAAAAAGCTGGAACTTTCGTCTGTGGTAAGGTAATGGGAAGACACACAAAACACAAGTAAATTTAACAATGAAATTTTAATTACGTTAGCAAAGCAAGACATGAATAAAGATAAGCATAAAATATACAAGGCAAGTCAACAAACAAAATAATAAGAGTAATCACTGGCAAATGAAAAGTTACGTTAAGACAAGTGAGTTATAGCAAAATAAATAATAATGATGCCGGAATATTGGCTTCGAGCTGCCACCTCCCTTAGTACACGAAAGCCAAGGCTTAGTCTACCAATGAGAGATGTCAACTGCAAGGAGCACTGGAATATTCTGATGACTCTGGGCCACTGCAGCCCAGACATCAACTTGTGGCGGAGGGTGGAGGGCAGGTGCGACGGGACACCAGCCAATCAGCGACAGGCAGGCAATGGACAAGCAGTTTGCCGGTTTACGGTGGCGGGCGGAAGCAGGTGTGCCGGTGTGCTGGATACGTTTTGCTCTCTGGGCAAAACGTTTTGGAGATACTTGCTGGATATATCTTCTATATTATCTGTTGTTGTTACATACTTTGAAGGGAAGAGTAGGCTCAATCTCTCTTGAAAGAGATTATCGTCACAATATATATATATATATATATATATATATATATATATATATATATATATATATATATATATATATATATATATATATATATATATATATATATATATATATATATATATATATATATATATATATATATATATATATATTGGTGTATACTGGCAGCAGGTTTTCTTTCAAACATGTATCATTGAATATGACCGCATATTCTGTATTTATTATTTTCTGGTTTAGGGCTTCTATCCCTCTAACTATTTTCTTAGCATCAGGGCTTAATTGAAATAGGAGTTCTCCAAAACTCATTTTCGTACTTTTAAGGTGAAGAAAAGAAGTGATTTACTATAGAGTGTATTACACTTATTTATATAATTTGCACAACGTTTCGAACCTCCATGGTTCATTCTCAAGTGAACAGATCTTACAATACTAGTTGATTTTATACCCGCACTGGGTCAGGTGATAATACAATAAAGGTGAAAACATGGGGGATACATAAGGGATAAATGTGAGGTGAGACATAGAGGCTGCAGAAGGCTTATCGGCCCATACGAGGCAGCTCCTATCTAAACACAAAGATTAATCCATTGTAATTAATCATTGTCTTCTGTGTTGGCAAAAGACAATGTCCAACATAATAGGCCAGTACACTGGATTAATCTTTGTGTTTAGATAGGAGCTGCCTCGTATGGGCCAATAAGCCTTCTGCAGCCTCTATGTTTCACCTCACATTTATCCCTTATGTATCCCCCCATGTTTTCACCTTTATTGTATTATCACCTGACCCAGTGCGGGTATAAAATCAACTAGTATTGTAAGATCTGTTCACTTGAGAATGAACCATGGAGGTTCGAAACGTTGTGCAAATTATATAAATAAGTGTAATACACTCTATAGTAAATCACTTCTTTTCTTCACCTTAAAAGTACGAAAATGAGTTTTGGAGAACTCTTATTTCAATTAAGCCCTGATGCTAAGAAAATAGTTAGAGGGATAGAAGCCCTAAACCAGAAAATAATAAATACAGAATATGCGGTCATATTCATGAAAAATATATATATATATATATATATATATATATATATATATATATATATATATATATATATATATATATATATATATATATATATATATATATATATATATATATATATATATATATATATTATTAAATATGACCGAAAAAGTAAGATTAATAATTCTAACACGAATTTTCTCAATATTTCTTATGTTTCTTTTCACTGTCGATGGTAATTGAAAAATCAGTTCTCCAAAATTCATTTTTATTTCTAGTCTGACGCGACACTTGAACGCGTTTCGTAATAACTTATTACATTTTCAAAGACTTTAGTTTACACACACACAACTATAACCTGCAAACCCAAACAGATTTCTTACTATGCTATAATTCAAATGGCTTTTCACTTTATATACCTGCATTTGGGTGAGTTGATATGTTACAACAGTTTTGGATGAGGTGAAAACAAACTTTCAACACAAAATAGAACACGAAATATTGGGTAATATTGGGTAAAGTTAAAGGGGAAGAATGGAAGTACATGCAAAGGGCCTATTGGCCCATATTTCTTGATGCTTCTATATTGGTGCGGAGTCTTGAAGTGGGTAGAATATAGTTGTGCATTAATTGGCTGTTGATTGCTGGTGTTGACTTCTTAATGTGTAGTGCCTCGCAGATATCAAGCCGCCTGCTATCGCTGTATCTATCGATGATTTCCATGTTTTTTGTTAAGACTTCTCTGGTGATGGTCTGGTTGTGGGAAGAGATTATATGTTCCTTAATGGAGCCCTGTTGCTTATGCATCGTTAATCGCCTGGAAAGAGATGTTGTTGTCTTGCCTATATACTGAATTCTTTGAGGCTTACAGTCCCCAAGTAGGCATTTGAAGGCATAGACGACATTAGTCTCTTTTAATGCGTTCTGTTTTGTGTCTGGAGAGTTTCTCATGAGTAGGTTAGCCGTTTTCTTGGTTTTATAGTAAATCGTCAATTGTATCTTCTGATTTTTGTCTGTAGGGATAACGTTTCTATTAACAATATCTTTCAGGACCCTTTCCTCCGTTTTATGAGCTGTGGAAAAGAAGTTCCTGTAAAATAGTCTAATAGGGGGTACAGGTGTTGTGTTAGTTGTCTCTTCAGAGGTTGCATGGCGTTTCACTTTCCTTCTTATGATGTCTTCAACGAAACCATTGGAGAAGCCGTTGTTGACTAGGACCTGCCTTACCTTACAGAGTTCTTCATCGACTTGCTTCCATCCTGAGCTGTGGCTGAGAGCACGGTCGACATAAGCGTTAACAACACTCCTCTTGTACCTGTCTGGGCAGTCACTGTTGGCATTGAGGCACATTCCTATGTTTGTTTCCTTAGTGTAAACTGCAGTGTGGAAACTTCCGCTCCTTTCCATGACTGTTACATCTAGAAAGGGCAGCTTCCCATCCTTTTCCATCTCGTAAGTGAAACGTAACACAGAATTCCGCTCAAATGCCTCCTTCAGCTCCTGCAGATGTCTGACATCAGGTACCGGTGTAAAAATATCGTCAACATACCTGCAGTATATGGCCGGTTTCAAGTTCATGTCGACTAGAACCTTTTGTTCGATGATACCCATGTAGAAGATCGCAAACAGGACACCTAGGGGAGAACCCATGGCGACCCCATCTACTTGCCCCATCTACATGTGCACATCCGGGCTCAAGAAGGGTGCCTCTTTCGTACAAGCTTGGAGTAGTTTCCTTAGAACGTTTTCTGGTATGGCAAGAGGAGTACAGGCCAGATCACGATACACTCTGTCCACTATCATCCCGATAGTTTCATCCACAGGTACGTTTGTAAATAGTGATTCTACGGCCAACGAGGCTCTTATCCCTGTGGCTCGTGTTCCCTGCAGTAAGTCAACAAATTCCTTTGGAGACTTCAGGCTGAAGGCGCAGGGGACATAAGGAGTCAGCAAGCCGTTGAGTCGTTTCGCCAGTCTGTACGTAGGTGTGGGTATCTGGCTGATGATTGGCCGAAGTGGGTTTCCAGGCTTGTGTGTCTTGACATTTCCATACGCGTATGGAGCTGGTGCTTCGGAGCTCATTAACTGTTTAATAATTGTAAACAAAGCCGCCAAATCTTGAGGAAAGATGTACAGGTCCGTAAGTACTTGCGTAAATCTGCTTCGTGAATCTGACCCCAGATGTTTGGGGCTAGCCTCACCCAAATTAGTAAACTAGATGATCTGGGATACAGGATGACATAGGCTGGTCGGGGTCGCCACAGTTCAAAAGGGAGCAACATGTTGGGCTCTCATTCAGACCGACACGACAATTTTTGGCAATGCCATCAAGTACACAGACAAAAATATTAAAAAAATAATTTAAAAACAGATTCTTTCCCATACAGAGACTCCAGCCACTTGGGGTGGACGGTAGAGCAACGGTCTCGCTTCATGCAGGTCGGCGTTCAATCCCCGACCGTCCAAGTGATTGGGCACCATTTCTTCCTCCCGTCTCATCCCAAGTTCTTATCCTGACCCCTTCCAAGTGCTATACAGTCATAATGGCTTGACACTTTCCCCTTATAATTCTCTCTCTCTTTCCCATATAGAGATGCCATTGACCTTATTCATTGAACTCGGACAAAATAACAGAGCTCTCCAGCTATTTTAACTTCTTCTCCCAAACACGTAAATTATTCTCTGAAATTAACCTCCTGTTTCATAGAAAACTAAGCCAACTCACATTTTTGAAAGAGGGAACTATTATATTGTGCGTGAATGTCATCATATAGATATATGAGTAGAATGACGAATACTTTATTCAATAGAGGAATAGCTGGATGGATGGATAACTGGATAGATGGCTGGATAAATAAGTAGATGCACATATAGATTTATGGATGAGTAGAACGATAGAGAGATGAACAGGATAGATAGAGTGATAGGAAATATGTGAAATATGAAAATACACATCCACAAGATGTGTATCTTGTGGATGGATGGATGGACAGATAGGTGAGTAAATTGATGGATGGATGGATGGATGGGAAGATGGATTGATAGATGAGTAGATAGATAGATGATTTATGGATGAATAGATAGGTGAGTAGATGGATGGATAAACAGATAGATGGATAAACAGATAGATGGATAAACAAATAGATGGATGGATACATGGATGAATAGTTAGATACACGGATGGATAAATTGACAGACAGAAATGTCAATGGATAAATAGATGGATAGATGAGTTTTAACCCCAATACCCGACAACGATCATGACTATTTTGGGCACAGATATTTCATCAAATAACTTCATGATGCTGGGGCCACATGAGCATCAATGGTGGAGCGCTCTCCTTCTCGCGCTCTTCTCTGGTCTTACTCTATTTCAGCTCCACTGTTCACTTAAGGGGAGCACCTTAAGGGGAGCCTTGCCCCCCGTGGCAAGTAGTGGTCCATTGGTCTTCAATCAGTGTGTCCACAGACAGTAAGACCAGGTTCCCTGCTCCCAGCTTGCTCGACACAAAAGTTATATTAGCCAAAGGTCGCCAATCTGACCAGAGCTCCACTTAAAGTCATATAATTTTCTCCTTGTACAGTGGTACACCCATTCCAGTCTGCTAATTACTTATTTGTGTGCAGTGCTCAGTCTAACCCCAGGTAAACATATTGAGAGTGAAGTAGTGAAACAAAAGACCATAATAAAATCATAAACCGTTCACTAGATTTAAGAGTTCAAAACTTAAGGTCCGAAAATATCTCAAATGTTTCTATGTGGCAACACACCTTAATAAAGGTCGTTGATAATATGGCAACATTCATCCGTATTCCTCGCCAGAATTCACTAGGCTATCACTTCCTTTTTTAATGTTCATCTCTTGCTCTTATGAAACATTCGGTGAGGAGGTGGTCACAGCTCTCAGCGCAGTGTTCAGTGTTCCTTTATGTGTTGGCACATTAATTTCATGATTATTTTATCATGTCTATTAAATGTAATTGATTAAAAAAGATAATAACAATATTTTCATGTTGTAACCAGGAACGAGGATGTGAGCGTTCACCCGGGCCAGACTCTGCTGTTCGAGCCCACGGCTCAACACTTCCGCAAAGACCAATATGTCCACTATACCACAAGTGAGAAGAAAAAGGCAAAGATTCCCGACTACAAAGTGGAGCACATAGTCGATGTAGTCAACTTATCATACCCTTACGAGGACTAACTAGGGACAGGATAGTCCCCAGTAACTGTCTCTCCTTCAATTCTTGTTTACCAACATGCTGAAAACCCGTCATTCAGCGCCTGTCTTCCTGCTACCTGTCTCTGCACCCGTCTCCTCTGTCTCATCAACACCATCCACCCAATACCCGAGTCTCCTGCCTTAACCTCAACTACCCGTCAAAATTATTGCTACATGCAGGCGATGAGTCACAATAACGTGGCTGAAGTATGTTGACCAGACTACACACTAGAAAGTGAAGGGACGACGACGTTTCGGTCCGTCCTGGACCATTCTCAAGTCGACTTGAAAATGGTCCAGGACGGACCAAAACGTCTTCGTCCCTCCACCTTCTAGTGTGTAGTCTGGTCAATACTTATTGCTACATGTTGCGAACATGTTTAATTGGACGAATACCAATCATAGTGTCGCCTGAATAAACGAACACAATTTGTACATTAAAAATGTGAAAACGTGACTTTTCGGTTCTTGAGCATTAGTTAGCGGAGCTGTTGTAGCCTAGTCAAACAGTCTACGGGCCCGGGGGGATGGGGGTACAGTGAGGCACAGCGTGAGTGCTGAAGTGAGGCAGGAAGTGTGAGGAGCAGGAGGAGGGAGGGAGGGAGATAACGGGAAGGAGGTAGGAGCAGGAGAGGGATGAAGATGGAGGTTAATTGGGAGGGAGAAGGTGAGGACAGATGGTTGAGGTAAGAAAATGATGGGCCGGACCATTTCCCAGTTATTGAACAGCAATGATGTCATGGTTTGTGAGATTTGAGTAATGAACACACCATACTGGTGTATGGTGTATGTGTAATCCACAATACTGGTGTATGATGTATGTGTAATCCACAATACTGGTGTATGGTGTATGTGTAATCCACAATGCTGGTGTATGGTGTATGTATAATCCACAATACTGGTGTATGGTGTATGTGTAATCCACAATGCTGGTGTATGGTGTATGTATAATCCACAATGCTGGTGTATGTGTAATCCACAATACTGGTGTATGTTGTATGTATAATCCACAATACTGGTGTATGTATAATCCACAATGCTGGTGTATGTATAATCCACAATACTGGTGTATGGTGTATGTATAATCCACAATGCTGGTGTATGGTGTATGTATAATCCACAATGCTGGTGTATGGTGTATGTATAATCCACTATACTGGTGTAGGGTGTATGTATAATCCACAATACTGGTGTATGTGTAATCCACAATACTGGTGTATGTATAATCCACAATGATGGTGTATGCATAATCCACAATACTGGTGTATGTATAATCCACAATGATGGTGTATGTATAATCCACAATACTGGTGTATGTATAATCCACAATGATGGTGTATGTATAATCCACAATACTGGTTTATGTATAATCCACAATACTGGTGTATGTATAATCCACAATGATGGTGTATGTATAATCCACAATACTGGTTTATGTATAATCCACAATACTGGTGTATGTATAATCCACAATGATGGTGTATGTATAATCCACAATACTGGTTTATGTATAATCCACAATACTGGTGTATGTATAATCCATAATACTGGTGAACGGTGTATGTATAATCCACAATACTGGTGAACGGTGTATTTATAATCCACAATACTGGTGAATGGTGTATGTATAATCCACAATGCTGCTGTATGGTGTATGTATAATCCACAATGCTGGTGTATGGTGTATGTATAATCCACAATACTGGTGTTTGGTGTATGTATAATCCACAATGCTGGTATATGGTGTATGTATAATCCACAATGTTGGTGTATGTATAATCCACAATACTGGTGTATGGTGTATGTATAATCCACAATACTGGTGTATGGTGTATGTATAATCCAGAATGCTGGTATATGGTGTATGTATGTATAATCCACAATACTGGTGTATGGTGCATGTATAATCCACAATACTGGTGTATGGTGTATGTATAATCCACAATACTGGTGTAAGGTGTATGTACAATACTCGGTACTTGTGTATGATGTATGTACAATCCACAATGCTGGTGTATTGTGTATGCATACAGCTACCCATCGCCTACTCTGATATAAATATCACAGTTCAACAGGTAATTTTGCACCATACACAGACAGGACCAAAGGTCTGTGTATTACTAGTGTATGTGATAGGAGGGGACGCCACTACAAGGGTCCAGGTCAGAGAGCTAGCAGTGGTCAGCAACTGTTGTTCCTCTGTTCAGGTGAGGTTGTCAGCATCGTGTCAGAATAGATTTTTTTCCTGATGATCTATTGGTTGGACCAGCTCCTGCTGACCCCTTGCTGAACCACCACCTGTTGATCCCCTGTTGGACCAGCTCCTGCTGACCCCTTGCTGAACCAGCTCCTGCTGACCTCTTGTTGGACCAGCTCCTGCTGACCTCTTGTTGGACCAGCTCCTGCTGACCTCTTGTTGGACCAGCTCCTGATGACCTCTTGTTGGACCAGCTCCTGCTGACCTCTTGTTGGACCAGCTCCTGATGACCTCTTGTTGGACCAGCTCCTGCTGACCTCTTGTTGGACCAGCTCCTGCTGACCTCTTGTTGGACCAGCTCCTGCTGACCTCTTGTTGGACCAGCTCCTGCTGACCTCTTGTTGGACCAGCTCCTGCTGACCTCTTGTTGGACCAGCTCCTGCTGACCTCTTGTTGGACCAGCTCCTGCTGACCTCTTGTTGGACCAGCTCCTGCTGACCTCTTGTTGGACCAGTTCCTGCTGACCTCTTGTTGGACCAGCTCCTGCTGACCTCTTGTTGGACCAGCTCCTGATGACCTCTTGTTGGACCAGCTCCTGCTGACCTCTTGTTGGACCAGCTCCTGCTGACCTCTTGTTGGACCAGCTCCTGCTGACCTCTTGTTGGACCAGCTCCTGCTGACCTCTTGTTGGACCAGCTCCTGCTGACCTCTTGTTGGACCAGCTCCTGCTGACCTCTTGTTGGACCAGCTCCTGCTGACCTCTTGTTGGACCAGCTCCTGCTGACCTCTTGTTGGACCAGTTCCTGCTGACCTCTTGTTGGACCAGCTCCTGCTGACCTCTTGTTGGACCAGCTCCTGCTGACCTCTTGTTGGACCAGCTCCTGCTGACCTCTTGTTGGACCAGCTCCTGCTGACCTCTTGTTGGACCAGCTCCTGCTGACCTCTTGTTGGACCAGCTCCTGCTGACCTCTTGTTGGACCAGCTCCTGCTGACCTCTTGTTTAACCTCCTCCTGCTGACCTCTTGTTTAACCACCACCTGCTGACCTCTTGTTGGACCAGTTCCTGCTGACCTCTTGTTTAACCTCCTCCTGCTGACCTCTTGTTTAACCACCACCTGCTGACCTCTTGTTGGACCAGCTCCTGCTGACCTCTTGTTGGACCAGCTCCTGCTGACCTCTTGTTGGACCAGTTCCTGCTGACCTCTTGTTGGACCAGCTCCTGCTGACCTCTTGTTGGACCAGCTCCTGATGACCTCTTGTTGGACCAGCTCCTGCTGACCTCTTGTTGGACCAGCTCCTGCTGACCTCTTGTTTAACCTCCTCCTGCTGACCTCTTGTTTAACCTCCCCTGCTGACCTCTTGTTTAACCTCCTCCTGCTGACCTCTTGTTTAACAACCACCTGCTGACCCCTTGTTTAACCTCCACCTGCTGACCTCTTGTTTAACCTCCACCTGCTGACCTCTTGTTTAACCTCCCCTGCTGACCTCTTGTTTAACCTCCTCCTGCTGACCTCTTGTTTAACCTCCACCTGCTGACCTCTTGTTTAACCACCTCCTGGTGACCTCTTGTTTAACCTCCTCCTGCTGACCTCTTGTTTAACCTCCACCTGCTGACCTCTTGTTTAACCTCCTCCTGCTGACCTCTTGTTTAACCACCACCTGCTGACCTCTTGTTTAACCACCTCCTGCTGACCTCTTGTTTAACCTCCTCCTGCTGACCTCTTGTTTAACCTCCTCCTGCTGACCTCTTGTTTAACCACCACCTGCTGACCTCTTGTTTAACCACCACCTGCTGACCTCTTGTTTAACCTCCTCCTGCTGACCTCTTGTTTAACCTCCTCCTGCTGACCTCTTGTTTAACCTCCACCTGCTGACCCCTTGTTTAACCTCCACCTGCTGACCTCTTGTTTAACCTCCTCCTGCTGACCTCTTGTTTAACCTCCACCTGCTGACCTCTTGTTTAACCTCCACCTGCTGACCTCTTGTTTAACCACCTCCTGCTGACCTCTTGTTTAACCACCTCCTGCTGACCTCTTGTTTAACCACCTCCTGCTGACCTCTTGTTTAACCACCACCTGCTGACCTCTTGTTTAACCACCACCTGCTGACCTCTTGTTTAACCACCACCTGCTGACCTCTTGTTTAACCACCACCTGCTGACCTCTTGCTGAACCACCACCTGCTGACCTCTTGCTGAACCACCACCTGCTGACCTGTTATTTAACCTCCACCTGCTGAGCCCATGTTGACCCTGACCCATATAACATAAGTCACAGGAAGGCTTCAAGATTACCGCTGGTGTTTCTGTGAGACGCCGCAGCGCATTTTACCTAGAGTGGCGCCATGAGCTACTTGTCATCAGTATTGTCAGTCTCAGACTATGATCTTCCACGGATAAGTCATTACCTTCAATAATGGACTATCAGAGTAGTCCACATAAGTGACCTACTTCATCCATGTGTGTAGCCCATACTCGGGCAGAAGACTGCAACACTTGCTTACGTAACAGAGGAACTGCCCACCACCATTGTAAGACTGCGATCTAAATATATTAGTATTTTGCATAAGCCATATTTTTGTTTAACAATAGGGATCATGTGGCCCAAGAGCTAAGGTATAAACCCAGGGCGTGATGAAACACCAGGACATTGGGCAAACTACTGGTGGCTGGTGTGTCTGTGGTCTGGTGTGTCTGTGGTCTGGTGTGTCTGTGGTCTGGTGGGTCTGTGGTCTGGTGTGTCTGTGGTCTGGTGGGTCTGTGGTCTGGTGGGTCTGTGGTCTGGTGTGTCTGTGGTCTGGTGTGTCTGTGGTCTGGTGTGTCTGTGGTCTGGTGGGTCTGTGGTCTGGTGGGTCTGTGGTCTGGTGTGTCTGTGGTCTGGTGTGTCTGTGGTCTGGTGGGTCTGTGGTCTGGTGTGTCTGTGGTCTGTTGTGTCTGTGTTCTGGTGTGTCTGTGGTCTGGTGTGTTTGTGGTCTGGTGTGTCTGTGGTCTAGTGTGTCTGTGGTCTGTTGTATCTGTGGTCTGGTGTGTCTGTGGTCTGGTGTGTCTGTGGTCTGGTGTGTCTGTGGTCTGTTGTGTCTATGTTCTGGTGTGTCTGTGGTCTGGTGTGTTTGTGGTCTGGTGTGTCTGTGGTCTGGTGTGTCTGTGGTCTGTTGTGTCTGTGGTCTGGTGTGTCTGTGGTCTGGTGTGTCTGTGGTCTGGTGTGTCTGTGGTCTGGTGTGTCTGTGGTCTGTTGTGTCTGTGTTCTGGTGTGTCTGTGGTCTGGTGTGTTTGTGGTCTGGTGTGTCTGTGGTCTGGTGTGTCTGTGGTCTGTTGTGTCTGTGGTCTGGTGTGTCTGTGGTCTGGTGTGTCTATGGTCTGGTGTGTCTGTGGTCTGTTGTGTCTGTGTTCTGGTGTGTCTGTGGTCTGGTGTGTCTGTGGTCTGGTGTGTCTGTGGTCTGGTGTGTCTGTGGTCTGTTGTGTCTGTGTTCTGGTGTGTCTGTGGTCTGGTGTGTCTGTGGTCTGGTGTGTCTGTGGTCTGGTGTGTCTGTGGTCTGTTGTGTCTGTGTTCTGGTGTGTCTGTGGTCTGGTGTGTCTGTGTTCTGGTGTGTCTGTGGTCTAGTGTGTCTGTGGTCTAGTGTGTCTGTGGTCTGGTGTGTCTGTGGTCTGGTGTGTCTGTGGTCTGGTGTGTCTGTGGTCTGGTGTGTCTGTGGTCTGGTGTGTCTGGGGTCTGGTGGGTCTGTGGTCTGGTGTGTCTGTGTTCTGGTGTGTCTGTGGTCTGGTGTGTCTGTGGTCTGGTGTGTCTGTGGTCTGGTGTGTCTGTGAACTGGTGTGTCTGTGGTCTGGTGTGTCTGTGGTCTGGTGTGTCTGTGGTCTGGTGTGTCTGTGGTCTGTTGTGTCTGTGTTCTGGTGTGTCTGTAGTCTGGTGTGTCTGTGGTCCGGTGTGTCTGTGGTCTGGTGTGTCTGTGGTCTGGTGTGTCTGTGTTCTGTTGTGTCTGTGTTCTGGTGTGTCTGTGGTCTGGTGTGTCTGTGTTCTGGTGTGTCTGTGGTCTGGTGTGTCTGTGGTCTGGTGTGTCTGTGGTCTGGTGTGTCTGTGGTCTGGTGTGTCTGTGGTCTGTTGTGTCTGTGTTCTGGTGTGCCTGTGGTCTGGTGTGTCTGTGGTCTGGTGTGTCTGTGGTCTGGTGTGTCTGTGGTCTGGTGTGTCTGTGTTCTGTTGTGTCTGTGTTCTGGTGTGTCTGTGGTCTGGTGTGCCTGTGTTCTGGTGTGTCTGTGGTCTGGTGTGTCTGTGGTCTGGTGTGTCTGTGGTCTGGTGTGTCTGTGGTCTGGTGTGTCTGTGGTCTGGTGTGTCTGTGGTCTGTTGTGTCTGTGTTCTGGTGTGTCTGTGGTCTGGTGGGTCTGTGGTCTGGTGTGTCTGTGGTCTGGTGTGTCTGTGGTCTGGTGGGTCTGTGGTCTGGTGTGTCTGTGGTCTGTTGTGTCTGTGTTCTGGTGTGTCTGTGGTCTGGTGTGTCTGTGTTCTGGTGTGTCTGTGGTCTGTTGTGTCTGTGTTCTGGTGTGTCTGTGGTCTGTTGTGTCTGTGGTCTGGTGGGTCTGTGGTCTGGTGTGTCTGTGGTCTGGTGGGTCTGTGGTCTGGTGTGTCTGTGGTCTGGTGTGTCTATGGTCTGGTGTGTCTGTGGTCTGTTGTGTCTGTGTTCTGGTGTGTCTGTGGTCTGGTGTGTCTGTGGTCTGGTGTGTCTGTGGTCTGGTGTGTCTGTGGTCTGTTGTGTCTGTGGTCTGTTGTGTCTGTGTTCTGGTGTGTCTGTGGTCTGGTGTGTCTGTGGTCTGGTGGGTCTGTGGTCTGGTGTGTCTGTGGTCTGTTGTGTCTGTGTTCTGGTGTGTCTGTGGTCTGTTGAGTTTGTGGTCTGTTGTGTCTGTGTTCTGGTGTGTCTGTGGTCTTGTGGGTCTGTGGTCTGGTGGGTCTGTGGTCTGGTGTGTCTGTGGTCTGTTGAGTTTGTGGTCTGTTGTGTCTGTGTTCTGGTGTGTCTGTGGTCTGGTGTGTCTGTGGTCTGTTGTGTCTGTGTTCTGGTGGGTCTGTGGTCTGGTGGGTCTGTGGTCTGGTGGGTCTGTGGTCTGGTGTGTCTGTGGTCTGGTGTGTCTGTGGTCTGTTGTGTCTGTTTTCTGGTGGGTCTGTGGTCTGGTGGGTCTGTGGTCTGGTGGGTCTGTGGTCTGGTGGGTCTGTGGTCTGGTGGGTTTGTGGTCTGGTGTGTCTGTGGTCTGGTGTGTCTGTGGTCTGGTGGGTCTGTGGTCTGGTGGGTCTGTGGTCTAGTGTGTCTGTGGTCTGTTGTGTCTTTGTTCTGGTGTGTCTGTGGTCTGGTGGGTCTGGGGTCTGGTGTGTCTGTGGTCTGGTGTGTCTGTGGTCTGGTGGGTCTGTGGTCTGGTGGGTCTGTGATCTAGTGTGTCTGTGGTCTGTTTTGTCTGTGTTCTGGTGTGTCTGTGGTCTGGTGTGTCTGGGGTCTGGTGTGTCTGTGGTCTGGTGTGTCTGTGGTCTGGTGTGTCTGTAGTCTGGTGGATCTGTGGTCCGGTGGGGTCTGTGGTCTGGTGGATCTGTGGTCTGGTGTGTCTGTGGTCTGGTGGGTCTGTGGTCTGGTGTGTCTGTGGTCTGGTGGGTCTGTGGTCCGGTGGGGTCTGTGGTCTGGTGGATCTGTGGTCTGGTGTGTCTGTGGTCTGGTGTGTCTGTGTTCTGGTGTGTCTGTGGTCTGGTGTGTCTGTGGTCTGGTGTGTCTGTGGTTTGGTGTGTCTGTGGTCTGGTGTGTCTGTGGTCTGGTGGGTCTGTGGTCTGGTGTGTCTGTGGTCTGGTGTGTCTGTGGTCTGGTGTGACTGTGGTGTGGTGGGTCTGTGGTCTGGTGTGTCTGTGGTCTGGTGGGTCTGTGGTGTGGTGTGTCTGCAGTCTGTTGTGTCTGTGTTCTGGTGTGTCTGTGGTCTGGTGGGTCTGTGGTCTGGTGTGTCTGCGGTCTGTTGAGTCTGTGGTCTGTTGTGTCTGTGTTCTGGTGTGTCTGTGGTCTGGTGTGTCTGTGGTCTGGTGGGTCTGTGGTCTGGTGTGTCTGTGGTCTGGTGTGTCTGTGGTCTGGTGGGTCTGTGGTCTGGTGTGTCTGTGGTCTGGTGGGTCTGTGGTCTGGTGTGTCTGCGGTCTGTTGTGTCTGTGTTCTGGTGTGTCTGTGGTCTGGTGTGTCTGTGGTCTGGTGGGTCTGTGGTCTGGTGTGTCTGTGGTCTGGTGTGTCTGTGGTCTGGTGGGTCTGTGGTCTGGTGTGTCTGTGGTCTGGTGGGTCTGTGGTCTGGTGTGTCTGCGGTCTGTTGTGTCTGTGTTCTGGTGTGTCTGTGGTCTGGTGGGTCTGCGGTCTGGTGTGTCTGGGATCTGGTGTGTCTGTGGTCTGGTGTGTCTGTGGTCTGTTTAGTATGTGGTCTGGTGGGTCTGTGGTCTGGTGTGTCTGTGGTCTGGTGTGTATGTGGTCTGGTTAGTATGTGGTCTGGTGGGTCTGTGGTCTGGTGTGTCTGTGGTCTGGTGTGTCTGTGGTCTGGTGTGTCTGTGGGCTGGTGAGTCTGTGGTCTGGTGTGTCTGTGGTCTGTTGGGTCTGTGGTTTGGTGTGTCTGTGGTCTGTTGGGTCTTTGGTCTGGTGTGTCTGTGGTCTGGTGTGTCTGTGGTCTGGTGGGTCTGTGGTCTCGAGTGTCTGTGGTCTGGTGTGTCTGTGGTCTGGTGGGACTGTGGTCTGTTGGGTCTGTGGGCTTGTCAGTCTTTGGTCTGGTGGGTCTGTGGTCTGGTGTGTCTGTGGTCTGTTGGGTCTGTGGTCTGGTGTGTCTGTGGTCTGGTGGGTATGTGGTCTGGTGTGTCTGTGGGCTGGTCACTCTGTGGTCTGGTGTGTGTGTGGGCTGGTCACTCTGTGGTCTGGTGTGTCTGTGGTCTGGTGTGTCTGTGGTCTGTTGGGTCTGTGGTCTGGTGTGTCTGTGGTCTGTTGGGTATGTGGTCTGGTGTGTCTGTGGGCTGGTCACTCTGTGGTCTGGTGTGTGTGTGGGCTGGTCACTCTGTGGTCTGGTGTGTCTGTGGTCTGGTGTGTCTGTGGTCTGGTGGGTCTGTGGTCTGTTGGGTCTGTGGTCTGGTGGGTCTATGGTCCAGTGGGTCTGTGGTATGGTTGGTCTGTGGGCCGGTGGGTCTGTGGTCTAGAGGGTCTGTGGTACGGTTGGTCTGTGGGCCGGTGAGTCTGTGGTCCAGTGGGTCTGTGGTCTGGTGGGTCTGTGGTGCAGTGGGTCTGTGGTATGGTTGGTCTGTGGGCCGGTGGGTCTGAGGTTCAGTGGGTCTGTGGTACGGTTGGTCTGTGGGCCGGTGGGTCTGTGGTCCAGTGGGTCTGTGGTATGGTTGGTCTGTGGGCCGGTGGGTCTGAGGTTCAGTGGGTCTGTGGTATGGTTGGTCTGTGGGCCGGTGGGTCTGAGGTTCAGTGGGTCTGTGGTACGGTTGGTCTATGGGCCGGTGGGTCTGAGGTTCAGTGGGTCTGTGGTGCAGTTGGTCTGTGGGCCGGTGGGTCTGTGGTCCAGTTGGTCTGTGGTATGGTTGGTCTGTGGGCCGGTGGGTCTGAGGTTCAGTGGGTCTGTGGTACGGTTGGTCTGTGGGCCGGTGGGTCTGTGGTCCAGTGGGTCTGTGGTATGGTTGGTCTGTGGGCCGGTGGGTCTGAGGTTCAGTGAGTCTGTGGTATGGTTGGTCTGTGGGCCGGTGGGTCTGAGGTTCAGTGGGTCTGTGGTACGGTTGGTCTATGGGCCGGTGGGTCTGAGGTTCAGTGGGTCTGTGGTATGGTTGGTCTGTGGTACGGTGTGTCTGTGGTCTGGTGGGTCTGTGGTCTGGTGTGTCTGTGGTCTGGTGTGTCTGTGGTCTGGTGTGACTGTGGTCTGGTGGGTCTGTGGTCTGGTGTGTCTGTGGTCTGGTGGGTCTGTGGTGTGGTGTGTCTGCAGTCTGTTGTGTCTGTGTTCTGGTGTGTCTGTGGTCTGGTAGGTCTGTGGTCTGGTGTGTCTGCGGTCTGTTGAGTCTGTGGTCTGTTGTGTCTGTGTTCTGGTGTGTCTGTGGTCTGGTGTGTCTGTGGTCTGGTGGGTCTGTGGTCTGGTGTGTCTGTGGTCTGGTGTGTCTGTGGTCTGGTGGGTCTGTGGTCTGGTGTGTCTGTGGTCTGGTGGGTCTGTGGTCTGGTGTGTCTGCGGTCTGTTGTGTCTGTGTTCTGGTGTGTCTGTGGTCTGGTGTGTCTGTGGTCTGGTGGGTCTGTGGTCTGGTGTGTCTGTGGTCTGGTGTGTCTGTGGTCTGGTGGGTCTGTGGTCTGGTGTGTCTGTGGTCTGGTGGGTCTGTGGTCTGGTGTGTCTGCGGTCTGTTGTGTCTGTGTTCTGGTGTGTCTGTGGTCTGGTGGGTCTGCGGTCTGGTGAGTCTGGGATCTGGTGTGTCTGTGGTCTGGTGTGTCTGTGGTCTGTTTAGTATGTGGTCTGGTGGGTCTGTGGTCTGGTGTGTCTGTGGTCTGGTGTGTATGTGGTCTGGTTAGTATGTGGTCTGGTGGGTCTGTGGTCTGGTGTGTCTGTGGTCTGGTGTGTCTGTGGTCTGGTGTGTCTGTGGGCTGGTGAGTCTGTGGTCTGGTGTGTCTGTGGTCTGTTGGGTCTGTGGTTTGGTGTGTCTGTGGTCTGTTGGGTCTTTGGTCTGGTGTGTCTGTGGTCTGGTGTGTCTGTGGTCTGGTGGGTCTGTGGTCTCGAGTGTCTGTGGTCTGGTGTGTCTGTGGTCTGGTGGGACTGTGGTCTGTTGGGTCTGTGGGCTTGTCAGTCTTTGGTCTGGTGGGTCTGTGGTCTGGTGTGTCTGTGGTCTGTTGGGTCTGTGGTCTGGTGTGTCTGTGGTCTGGTGGGTATGTGGTCTGGTGTGTCTGTGGGCTGGTCACTCTGTGGTCTGGTGTGTGTGTGGGCTGGTCACTCTGTGGTCTGGTGTGTCTGTGGTCTGGTGTGTCTGTGGTCTGTTGGGTCTGTGGTCTGGTGTGTCTGTGGTCTGTTGGGTATGTGGTCTGGTGTGTCTGTGGGCTGGTCACTCTGTGGTCTGGTGTGTGTGTGGGCTGGTCACTCTGTGGTCTGGTGTGTCTGTGGTCTGGTGTGTCTGTGGTCTGGTGGGTCTGTGGTCTGTTGGGTCTGTGGTCTGGTGGGTCTATGGTCCAGTGGGTCTGTGGTATGGTTGGTCTGTGGGCCGGTGGGTCTGTGGTCTAGAGGGTCTGTGGTACGGTTGGTCTGTGGGCCGGTGAGTCTGTGGTCCAGTGGGTCTGTGGTCTGGTGGGTCTGTGGTGCAGTGGGTCTGTGGTATGGTTGGTCTGTGGGCCGGTGGGTCTGAGGTTCAGTGGGTCTGTGGTACGGTTGGTCTGTGGGCCGGTGGGTCTGTGGTCCAGTGGGTCTGTGGTATGGTTGGTCTGTGGGCCGGTGGGTCTGAGGTTCAGTGGGTCTGTGGTATGGTTGGTCTGTGGGCCGGTGGGTCTGAGGTTCAGTGGGTCTGTGGTACGGTTGGTCTATGGGCCGGTGGGTCTGAGGTTCAGTGGGTCTGTGGTACAGTTGGTCTGTGGGCCGGTGGGTCTGTGGTCCAGTTGGTCTGTGGTATGGTTGGTCTGTGGGCCGGTGGGTCTGAGGTTCAGTGGGTCTGTGGTACGGTTGGTCTGTGGGCCGGTGGGTCTGTGGTCCAGTGGGTCTGTGGTATGGTTGGTCTGTGGGCCGGTGGGTCTGAGGTTCAGTGAGTCTGTGGTATGGTTGGTCTGTGGGCCGGTGGGTCTGAGGTTCAGTGGGTCTGTGGTACGGTTGGTCTATGGGCCGGTGGGTCTGAGGTTCAGTGGGTCTGTGGTACGGTTGGTCTGTGGGCCGGTGGGTCTGTGGTCCAGTGGGTCTGTGGTATGGTTGGTCTGTGGGCCGGTGGGTCTGAGGTTCAGTGAGTCTGTGGTATGGTTGGTCTGTGGGCCGGTGGGTCTGTGGTCTAGTGGGTCTGTGGTCCAGTGGGTCTGTGGTACGGTTGGTCTGTGGGCCGGTGGGTCTGTGGTCTGGTGTGTCTGTGAGCCAGTGGACTAATGGGTGGGTGGGTCTGTGGTCTGGTGTGTCTGTGAGCCAGTGGACTAATGGGTGGGTGGGTCTGTGGTCTGGTGTGTCTGTGAGCCAGTGGACTAATGGGTGGGTGGGTCTGTGGTCTGGTGTGTCTGTGAGCCAGTGGACTAATGGGTGGGTGGGTCTGTGGTCTGGTGTGTCTGTGAGCCAGTGGACTAATGGGTGGGTGGGTCTGTGGTCTGGTGTGTCTGTGAGCCAGTGGACTAATGGGTGGGTGGGTCTGTGGTCTGGTGTGTCTGTGAGCCAGTGGACTAATGGGTGGGTGGGTCTGTGGCTTAAAAGGAAAGTTTTTCATGTCGGAAATATATCAAGAATATGTTAAAAAAACATTCTGAATTATGGTCTTTTGCAGTCACTTATTCTGATTTCAATGGGCAGGACAACCTCCAGGGCACAGACCGTGACAACCTCCAGGGCACAGACCGTGACAACCTCCAGGGCACAGACCGTGACAACCTCCAGGGCACAGACCGTGACAACCTCCAGGGCACAGACCGTGACAACCTCCAGGGTATAGACCGTGACAACCTCCAGGTTATAGACCGTGACAACCTCCAGGTTATAGACCGTGACAACCTCCTGGTTATAGACCGTGACAACCTCCAGGGTATAAAATGTGACAACCTCCAGGGTATAAACCGTGACAACCTCCAGGGTACAGACTGTGACAACCTCCAGGGTATAGACCGTGACAACCTCCAGGGTACAGACCGTGACAACCTCCAGGGTACAGACCGTGACAACCTCCAGGGTATAGACCGTGACAACCTCCAGGGTATAGAATGTGACAACCTCCAGGGTAAAGACCGTAACAACCTCCAGGGTACTGACCGTGACAACCTCCAGGGTAAAGACCGTCACAACCTCCAGGGTATAGACCGTGACAACCTCCAGGGTATAGACCGTGACAACCTCCAGGGTATAGAATGTGACAACCTCCAGGGTACTGATCGTGACAACCTCCAGGGTATAGACCGTGACAACCTCCAGGGTACTGATCGTGACAACCTCCAGGGTATAGACCGTGACAACCTCCAGGGTATAGACCGTGACAACCTCCAGGGTATAGACCGTGACAACCTCCAGGGTATAGACCGTGACAACCTCCAGGGTACTGATCGTGACAACCTCCAGGGTACAGACCGTGACAACCTCCAGGGTATAGACCGTGACAACCTCCAGGGTATAGACCGTGACAACCTCCAGGGTACTGATCGTGACAACCTCCAGGGTATAGACCGTGACAACCTCCAGGGTACTGATCGTGACAACCTCCAGGGTACAGACCGTGACAACCTCCAGGGTATAGACCGTGACAACCTCCAGGGTACTGATCGTGACAACCTCCAGGGTATAGACCGTGACAACCTCCAGGGTATAGACCGTGACAACCTCCAGGGTACTGACCGTGACACTATCGTCACATAGCTCCTTACTTGCCAGAGAACTGCATTATCACCAATATTATTTTCTATTGCAATGCATAAATTGGCATTTGCATTATAGCCTTATCTCAATAGACTGGTTTGTTATTTGTATTTCTATAAATACATATAATTTTATCTTTATGTATTTATAATTTTAAACTGTTTAAATGTGCTAATGTATCATCGCGACTGTCAATGGATATATTGTTGTTACCGTTGTTATTGGTGTAACTGATCGGGTTGTACAAGTTGCATGGCTTTACACACGAACATTATCTTACTATTCTATATACGTTATAACTTGTGTTAAAGTATTCTTTTTCTAAACTGTACTGCCCAGCTATAGTAACAGTACAATGTGCCTTATATGCTACATATTTTTGTCATTATAGTTTGTGCCTATATCAGTAATAAGAATTTATATATTACAGAAATATTTGCATAATTTTGTGAAATGTTTGCATATATTAATGCAAAATATTGTATCTGAATTGCACTCTATATTAGAAGCTGATATTTGTTGAATACTGAATATAGAAATAATTATTAACATCTCATATAGTTGAATAATTGCCTATTTATTGTATATAGCATTATGCTTCATCAATAAAAATGATCACATTTATATTACACCTTTCTGGAGTTTTTATTGCTTTATAATTCCAGTAGTGTAGATTCAGACCATCATTATATTTTTAGGTGTTTCCAAATAAATTTAGTATTGTCTTAGTAAGTAATGGAAATGTCTGCTCATAGACATATCCATGTTTTTATCCATAACATGGGATAAAAACCCACACATATATAATTGTGAATTTTATGGAAAGATTTACACCAAGTCTTTCGCACTCTCGTGAGTGCTTTGTTAAGGTCTGAGTGTGTGGTTAGGACGAGACATATCAACGAGTAATGCAGCTGTGAGAGAATAGATATTGCCAGCTGTCTTTATGTGTGAAAAGTGAGTGCGCCACAACAGTTGAACTCTCACGAGTGCACAAAGTGTGTGCTCTAAGTCGAAGTTTTGTTAATACAAGACTCAGTTATGCCTTGTTGGATATCGGAGGATAGCTCATGTCAACATAAAGCTATTGTTATCACGAGAGCCGTCGTGTGCTTAACCGTTTATTAATTACAGCAAGGAGGATTAAGTACAACAACTAGTAGCTCCTAGGACTATAAATCCGAAATCAGAGTTATGGGGGAGCCTGAGATGTTGTGGTCAGAAAGAGGCCAGCAAGTTCCCAACTGGCGTTTAAACAAATAGGCCTTGCCTATTTGTTTTGTTAAATGACGTAGTTATGACGTCACGGCCACTCGCCACCCGGAGAAGCTGCTCTGATTAGTCTAGGCCTCAGCGCCCTATTCCTGATTGGTGGAATTCATATATCACGAGGGGAGAGTGGCGGCCGGTGCGCCTTGAGTGCCCGAGAAGCAGGCCAGTCGACGCTGCCCTCCTCATTCTGAAGCAGTCGCCCAGTACACTAAGATGTGTAAAGTCTTCGCTGCCGGCCACAACTTGACTTACTGCCTAACACGACGTTAATTGATATCTCGTTATCTGTCTAATTTCATCTTGCGCGATTTGCTGCAGAATCTGGTTCGCAATAATAACAAATTTAACTTGGGTATGAGGGATGTAAAAAGAGAGAAAGTGCCCCACTGTTGGATATTTCCAACATCGAATACAGCATTGTTGTATTCTCATTACTTATTACTAATCATATTAACATTGTAGTAAGTAAAATTAACAACTCGTAGAATTCTCCTGTACTAATAATTCATCTGTGCATTAGGCTAGAATTCTCACGTCATCTGACGCTAGTATTGCGTCAGATTTCTTTACAGTAAAACACATTATATTCAATTTGTGTGAGAATTAAATACGATTCTCCATAATTAAAGCATTCTGTATGACAACTGATTGCAGACGAATTGTTTTCTAACTAAAAGCCGAATAGAGCGTTAGAATTATACCGTCTACCTCGCGATAGTGTTAACGTCATCAATGAATGCTATGGGGAGACATTAATTCCTCTCCCTTGTATCTTTACTATTCTTAAATAGTTAAATAATAATATTTCGTTCCTCTAAATAATAAACCCGTCCAGTCTTTAGAGTTTCAAGCGCGAATGCGAGAAATATTAATGTTCATGCCAATAATTTGTGTAATGAACGTCGACTCGGCGTGGGGGGAGGGACGCGACGCCATACTGTCGGTGAGGGAGTGGGGAAGCGGACACGTGCAAGGCCAGAAGGAGGCAAAACCACGCTTACCGTACTCACAAAAGACGCCATTGTCCAGCAAATAGGACACGTGTGTCTATCTACAGATGAAAGCCGCCACTGTGAGGCGTGAACGACCTTGCAGATAATATCTTCAGCTAGTGCTGGTGTTAAATAAGGGACCCCTAGACTTGGTTCCTGACGACACGTGATCAGCCAGCTTGAAACGCATCAATCCAGGATAGGTTCGCCGGAGCCTGGGATGCGAAATTACGGCAATCTTAATACTTACACAGTGCCCACAGCTAAGTACCTTTTATTTGATGCATCATTTACAGGTTTAATAATAGCGGGGTGATTGCGCGTCACGCGGCACGACAACACCTAATAACAGGTGATTAGAATTCTATCTGTAGATATTAATAATCTTGAATATGTATTGAGTAGTTAAATCAATTGCTACTGGTAGTTATTTATTTTGCAGCTCGAGAGACGAATTCCTCATGCTGTCTTCTCCATGTTAACCGTGTCAGACGTCGGTGTACCAGACTTGGAGATTAAGAGGACTGCCAGGGTTATCTAAAGGAATCTATTACCAGCTAAGGCTTATTTCTTTTTACTCATAACTTTGCAATTTGATACATTCAGAATGTTTTCAACATAATGTGTGATTTACTGTAATTCATTATTATGCTCATATTCATGTTCTTCTTTGTATGAATAATATTATATTCTACATTAATTATAGGATTAGATTATTATTAATAGAATTAGTGAACGAACCACACTGATTCCTGGACGTACTGACCTCCAGTAATAACCCCCCAATGTAGGTGTTTGAGGTTTGGTTTTAATAATACAGCCCATTAATTATTCTTATGATCATACTTTCTAGTCATATCCATAGTCACTGGTTTCTCTAGAATTTTATCTAATGATCTGAAATTCTCAGTTTCCCTCTTTACTTTAAAAGCGGGTGGTCCTTCGTAATTTAATTTACTACTTTAATTATTAATTAATCAGAATCAAACCCAAATATCCCACATTATGGTCCTTTTCGAACCGGATAGGCATTAAATTTATAATTAAAATATTAACCATTAATAACTAATCCTTGTGTGATAGAAGCTAGACTAACTATTTAATTAATTGTGTCAACTAACAGTGTAACACACCAGTTAGCCTAGATCACACTAACAGCTACCTTTACATAGCTTTAGTGGGTCATAACCAAGTACCCACAACATTTAGACCTACACTTCATACTGAAGTAGAACCCTTAGGTCACCAAGAGCAACAGCTCATAACCTTATATTAATCACTAACACCAATTAAGTGTTAACCATTTAGGCTATACCAATGTTTCATTATATGGCTGTCAGCAGACCGTCCATTATAGCCTGAATCCATGTTATAATTACTGATTCACTCAAGTCAGTGGATCATTAACATTTAGGGATCCAGTATACTAATATAAATTACTGATCTCATACTAGTTAATCATTACTAACCCTGATAATATTTTATTCCACAATTAGGAGTACATTTAGGAGTTAGATAATATTTACGGCAGTAGAATACTTGCCAAACACAATTAATTCCTTTGTGTTCATTTAATTTCTTATACACATAATTACACAAGTGTATATAAACAATAAAATACAAAACCCAAAAAACACAGCACAATTATTTGCACATTACTGCACCATAATATAATCTTTGCCAACCTTATTAGGTAGCAATTTAGGCTGTGATTGTGTTGAATTTGGCACAAGCACAGACTAAATATAGTTGTAGTTTCTCAAGTAGAAATTCTCACGACTAGGCTTGAGCTAGTTAGTGACATATATTACTCTTTGTGCTGACCCTAGCAAGGGTGGGATTAACCATTTATTGTGTAATTATTTTATTGCATATTTCTATGTATGTCTTTGAGTGTTACTGTAAGTCCACTACCCATCCGAAGCTGATTTAGAAGAGCTAAGCTGAGGAGCTCCTGTAGTGAGACCAAGGTACCACTCAAATCTTAGTTGCTTATTATTAGGTAGGTAGCTAACCTCTAAATGAGGTAACTTACAACCAGCCTCAAGAAATATTAGGCTGTCAATACTTATACCTGCTCTACATCAAGGAGCAGACACCATAGCTATACCACTAGCTACATAAGCCTTATCAGGCTGTCAATAATTATACCTGCTCTGCATCAAGGAGCAGACTATAGCTATACCACTAGCTACATAAGCCCAATCAGGCTCATTTTACCGCAAGAATGAATCCTTTAGAAAGGAATGCAAGATTCTTGAGAGCTCTTCAAATCCGTCTAGGAGAACTGCTTATGAAATGTCATCTTTGTGTAGAAACTGACCCAGGTGACGTCTTCAGACTAGCAAGTTACATAAAGTACGCCATCCAAAAATATGACTATATCAAGACTGTGATCGAGTCCCACAGGAATTTACTCCAAGTCGGTCATACTGTCTCAGACCACTTACGTCTAACAGAATCTGATCTTGATAACTATGAACATTATGTTCAAACCAGGTTAGACCGATATAAAGAGGGGCTTACGGGACAAGATATTCCCGAGTGGATGGAGCCGATCATTAATAGACCTACACCTGAGTCAACACTCAGCTCAGATGAAATACTAGAGCTACCTCAAGACGAGGAGAATCCTCTAATCAATGCTGATCACTATACAGGATCAACAACTGAAGATCAACCTTCATTTTCTAACCTCTCATCTAATACAGCTTCATGTGATGATTTGTTTACAGA